GACGTGAGTAATGACCTACGTGCGTAATGCTGTAACAGACGCGAGTGATGTTGTAGCAGACGTGAGTAATGCTGTAACAGACGCGAGTGATGCTGTAGCAGACGTGAGTAATGCTGTAACAGACATGAGTGATGCTGTAGCAGACGCGAGTGATGCTGTAACAGACGTGAGTAATGCTGTAACAGACATGAGTAATGCTGTAGCAGACATGAGTAATGCTGTAACAGACGCGAGTGATTCTGTACCAGACGTCCGTAATGCTGTAACAGACGTGAGTAATGACAGACGTGCGTAATGCTGTAACAGACGTGCGTAATGCTGTAACAGACGCGAGTGATGTTGTAGCAGACGTGAGTAATGCTGTAACAGACGCGAGTGATGCTGTAGCAGACGTGAGTAATGCTGTAACAGACGCGAGTGATGCTGTAGCAGACGCGAGTGATGCTGTAACAGACGTGAGTAATGCTGTAACAGACATGAGTAATGCTGTAGCAGACATGAGTAATGCTGTAACAGACGCGAGTGATTCTGTACCAGACGTCCGTAATGCTGTAACAGACGTGAGTAATGACCTACGTGCGTAATGCTGTAACAGACGTGCGTAATGCTGTAACAGACGCGAGTGATGTTGTAGCAGACGTGAGTAATGCTGTAACAGACGTGCGTAATGCTGTAACAGACGCGAGTAATGCTGTAACAGACGTGCGTAATGCTGTAACAGACGCGAGTGATGCTGTAGCAGACGTGAGTAATGCTGTAACAGACGTGAGTAATACTGTAACCGATGTGCGTAATGCTGTAACAGACGCGAGTAATGCTGTTACAGACATGAATAATGCTGTAACAGACGTGCGTAATGCTGTAACAGACGCTAGTGATGCTGTAGCAGACGTGAGTAATGCTGTAATCGACGTGCGTAATGCTGTAGCAGACGTGAGTAATGCTGTAACAGACGTGCGTAATGCTGTAACAGACACGAGTGATGCTGTAACAGACGTGCGTAATGCTGTAACAGACGTGAGTAATGCTGTAACAGACACGAGTGATGCTGTAGCAGATGTGAGTAATGCTGTAACAGACGTGCGTAATGCTGTAACAGACGTGAGTAATGCTGTAACAGACGTAATTAATGCTGTAACAGGCACGAGTAATGCTGTTACAGACGTGAGTAATGCTGTAAGAGACGTGCGTGATGCTGTAACAGGTGCGAGTAATGCTGTAACAGACGCGAGTAATACTGTAACAGACGTGAGTAATGCTGTAACGGACGTAAGTAATGCTGTAACAGACGCGAGTAATGCTGTAACAGAAGCGAGTAATGCTGTAACAGACGCGAGTGATGTTTTAACAGACGTGAGTAATGCTGTAACAGACGCGAGTGATGCTGTAGCAGACGCGAGTGATGCTGTAACAGACGTGCGTAATGCTGTAACAGACGCGAGTGATGCTGTAACATACGTGAGTTATGCTGTAGCAGACGTGAGTAATGCTGTAGCAGAAGTGACTAATGCTGCAACAGACGCTAGTAATGCTGTAACAGACGCGAGTGATGCCGTAACAGACGCGAATAATACTGTAGCAGACGCAAGTAATGCTGTAACAGACGCGAGTGATGTTTTAACAGACGTGAGTAATGCTGTAGCAGACGTTAGTAATGCTGTAACTGACGTGAGTAATGCTGTAACTGACGTGAGTAATGCTGTAACAGGTGCGAGTATTGTATTATTAGAAACTAGTCATGTATAAAAGAAGCGGGGTATATTTGTAACAGATCGAGAAATGTATTAACAGAAGCTGGGTATATCTGTAACAGGTGTAAGTACTGTTGTAACAGATGCGAGTTAAATATTTTACAGAAGAGAGCTATATAACTCACACTGGTGATTAAAGTCTGTAACTAAAATGAGTAATGGGTGTACCTGTAGCCAGTAATGTCTGTAATAGATGAGTAATGTAGGCAACATGCAATTATACAACAAATACAACTAATATTACATTAGTTCTCTGAGTAATGTTAGTAACAGAAGCGAGTAATGTAACAGATGCAAGTTATGTAACAGATATGTTATATCTGCAACATATGAGAGTAATGGATGTGGCGGATGAGGGTAATCCGCTTTGTGAATAATAGCAGTTACAGTACGTGTTTTGTAGCTTGTGAATAACATCATACAGTATGTATACATGGTTAGCCAAATCTCGAGAACGCTAACTTTGTGTTAAACTTCTTCTTTCTGTATTACAGCTGACTTAGTATGCGTCACGGAACCAGCCACCACGACAAGTAAGCTGAGTTTTTAGAAAATATCATCTACTCTTTGAATGTGAAGTGATACACACAACAGATGTCAGTTTCTTTACCCGTGAAGGTCCGGGTTAGAACTGGTCTTCAGCAACCCATGCTTGTCGTAACAGGCGACTTACGGGATCGGGTGGTCAGACTCGCTGATTTGATTGACACATGTTATTGTATCCCAATTTCGTAGATCGATGCTCATGATGTTGATCAGTTATTTACAGACCGCGGCCATAAAGCTGAAATATTGCTGATTGCGGCGTAAAACAACAATATACTTGTTTCGTCATCAGGGGCATAGAGTCAAGGATGCAATGAGCATACATAGTTGATATGGACATACTACGCTCTCCGCAACTTCTTCTTTCACCCTCTGACTTAATAAGCATAGACTCCGAAATGTTGTATTCCCCAAAACAACCAGAAATTCCGTCCCTATTGATTAGTTTGATTATATGTATACGTTTTGATAAAAATATCATTTTAATCGATTTGTTTTAAAAAGAATAAACAAAAAAATTATAATAATTCAGGCTTTATATACCTAGAGTCACGATTACAACCATTCAATTATTAAAAGAATGTCATTATGGTTTTCTTTCATGCAATGTGTTGTTTGAAGTATTTTGAGCATCAGCTACGAAATGTAAACTATGTGAATTATATTAAATATTAAGAACCTATTTTTATTACAGCGACAACTGCAGGTATTGCGTTCACTCCGCACACTAGCATAGTGGCATGCCCTCTTAATGTTGTAGACACCTATTGTAGCATCTAGACTCTAGTCCTCTGAGTCTGAAGTAGCATAGCCTCTCTGCTTCAGCAGACACTATCGTGCATGATTGTTGTATTTCTGTCAACTAGAGCAACTTCTGTTTACACACATACACTCGAATGACACAAAACACAGAGAGCGTTCACTGAAAATACGTTTAGAATTTCGAAAATCCGATGCCACTAATTCAGAGGAAATAATGTCAGTATCGAAAGTGCGAACGGGGATTGGATGGTTATCGAATGAGGATTGGTTGGATATCGAATGTGGATTGGATGGATATGGAATGTTGGATATCGAATGAGGATTGGATGGTTATCGACGAGGATTGGATGGCTGAGGGCTCGACCAATGGGGTGCCATCGCACCATTTGTTTCTACGGTAGCTAGGCGACTTGGCTGCTTACATTTTTTGCCCGAATGCGGTGGCCCGTGCTCATGACATCAACCATTCGCTGACTCAGCCCAGGGCGGTTGTAATGATATAGCTGCGATAGTGCTAATAGTGTCGACGCCAAAGTGGAACATGTGGTTGACAAATTCTATAATCGATCACGAGGCACGATGTTTGAAAGAAATGTCGATTTTGTACCATAATGTTTTGTTTAAGACACTATTTCACACCACACTTCTCTAAAATTAAATAATGCATTTCTCTCAATAATACTAACTATCAGCCCTCAGGGAAGCTACCATATAATGGATTCCGACAAAATTACGTATTTAGATTCCATTATTAAATTAAAAAGTTCCAATGCAACGTTGCATTAAATCGGCCGAACATTTTTTCAAGTGGACACCATAGAGTTATGTCCCTTGGAATGCTCTTTACAAATAGCCTATAACTCCTTGGAGGACAGAACTCTGTCCTAGACAAAATAACGCTAATGTAAGGTGCAAAGACATACGCGCAACTTCTGACTGAAACCAGTTAGGCAAAAACCGCCAACACCGCGTGCGACAGTTTTTGATGTACGGGGCAATTGCTTCCATTCCATATATGGCAAGTGTTCTCTGTTTGGAAGCTGTTCGCCTCGAAGTTTCAGTTATCGATTTCAGGCAAGTCGTGTGGGATAATAAGTCTTTTATTGCATCAGTAGGAAGCTACAGTGAGTGCATTTGCCCCAATATATATGATATAGGCCAAAATATTGTCGAAAATGTGTGAAATTGTGCCTTTAAACTATGCAAAAATTGGTTGGGCCAGAAATTCCAGCACAGTGCGGCAAGGACGGGAACTGGGGGTTTATAGGTAGTATACTCTCTACTCTGAACAATGTTATGTTTGAAGATTTATACATGTACCTGGTTTAGAAATTATTTCAACATAATATTATCAAATTAGTGTGTATTATATATATTTAACCATTATAAGACTATACCGTACATACCATACCGTAAAACTTGTATTACAGGTGTTTAAAAAAGCATGTTTGTAATCATATATACAAAAATGTATCATGATTGAATATATCATCCGTCCAGTTTGGATATATTATTATTGATCTAACTCGGCATTTTAAGACAACACGAACTAACACACGGAACACTGTGATGAAATACTAACATCGGTATATCGTATTATAGCATTGTTTACAAAACTATTAACCCGAATAAGTTGCAGGATAATGATTTTGTCAAGACGCTCAATTTTAAATAAAACACCTAGGTAACACTGCATGACCCCTGGTCAAGCTGTATGACCCGTAGCAACTGTCTCGGGGTAGTCTGGTGGTTCAAGTGATGTCTAGACTCACTGGTGATCCGGGTTTGATTCCCGATAAGGTCACAATGTGTGGAAACCATTCCCTTGGCCCCCACACTGATTTTCCTGGGATGTGGTTAAAAGCGGCGTAAACTTATTCACTTACTCACTTTTCAGCTGTTTTCACAGTAAGCATCTTAGCAACTCCAGTTATGTCGAGTATGGCTCTTTCGGACATGGACTTGTCCGAGTATTACGAGTATACCATCACGCCATCTGAAGTCTTCTACGACCCTTCCGATGGCCTCTCAATGTACACGGCCGATTTGTCGGAGTTCTACAACCTTGACCCTTCTTCCGCCATCTTGGAATCCGAATTTCCATCCGAATCGGACTATGCAGGAACGTCTGATCCGGCAGTGGTTGCTACAGAAACACAAAATTCAGTGACGTCATCGCAACTCTCAACAGACGAGTCATCAACATCTTCTCAAACAACGTTAACATCTCGTACAACGCCACCGTCGACATCAAACAGTCCTGAGGGCACCACGACCACACCGCCACCCTCAACGTCTTCAACGACGGCTAAACCAACATCAGCAAAGGCAAATAATTCGGACAAAACATCTTCAGGTAAATGACCAGATCCCGTGTACCTGCAGAGGCCAAGATCAGGTTGTTGGGTATCCTCCCATTACCCCTACATCCCATTACCCCTATAGCTTATAACAACAAAGTTCACGGTTGTTGTTGAGGTGAAGCTAAGTGTGATGGGCCAGGTACTAAAACTCATCTCATACGGGATCTGGTTACCAGTTATTATATGGTGGAATATGGTATGGTGAAGATCTGAATCCGTGTTTATGTATTCCAACTGACAGACAAAGTGTTCAGTGTTCCATGAAGGTATGAATTTTAGAGCATTGTGTTTGGTGGTCCAATAATCAGAATCGCTGCTGGTGGGGTGGTAGCCTAGTGGTTAAAGCGTTCGCTGGTCACGTCGAAGACCCGGGTTCGATTCCCCACATGCGTACAATGGAAAGCCCATTTCTGGTATCCCCCGCCGTGATATTGCTGGAATATTGCTAAAAGCGGCGTAAAACTAAACTACAACTTGTGAAGAGGTGTTTCAGACGTATCTGGAGCCAATGGTCGTGGGTTCGAATCCCGATTCTCCCAGATTATGATCCATGGTCGACTTCAAAGTCGCTCTGACGCTTACTGAACATCAGAAATAATCTGACATAACTGAAATACTGTTCAAAGATACATGAACCTCACTCACTCATCCGGGGCGCCCAGTGGTTAAGGCTCTCGCTCGTCACGCCTAAGATCCGGGTTTGATTCCCCACATTGGCACAGTGTGTGAAACCAATTTCTGGTGTCACCCGCCTCGATATCGCGGGAGTATTGCTAAAAGCGGCGTAAAACCATACTCACTCACTCACTCATCCACTCAGATTGTGTTATGTCAGTAATATATTCCGAGTTGAACTAACCACTCTCCCAAACAGCGTCGGTATCAATGTGTCATATGTATGCGTTTATTTGTCTTCTTGTTTTAATGCCTATCTCAACACAATACACACAGGCGGTTTAAGGTTATACGCTTAGCATGAACATAGAAAAACAGTATATTTATGCATGAAGTAGATATTTCTGTATCTTTGGCATGATTCTATATTTCCTTCTATAGCCCTGGTTCTGTGTTAGTCTGGTGTTTGGTAATATGTGAGAAACATAAATAATGATGATAATAATAATAATAATCACCATCATCATGTAAGGATATATGTCCAGTAGTACTGCGTGCAATTCAACATCATTTGATATTATTCAGTGCTTATCTGAGGTTTGATTAAATGAAAGAAAATGTTTCTTTTCAACTGAGAAAAATGTACAATTGATAATGATTAATTCATAATAATCTATAACATATTTTCTAACGTTTCACAAATTCATGGCCTCGCCCTCGTTTATTCAGTGTGATATCTCAAAGCTATATTACATTAAAGTTTCAAACCAGTCCGTTTTCAGACAAGTCGAGTGACATAAATCTTAAATGAGGCATCCAATGAAATTGCACTACTGTGCGAAAGAAATTCTTTGTCAACTTACTTACGAAAGAGCTGGAGATTATATCACATTCCCATGGTGACGAATGGATCCGGTGTCTATATCATGATAGAATCGAGATATTATACCCTGGATACTCGAAGATGCACCGTTTTTATTATAAATGTATATTGCATACCCTCTGATAACACATCTTTTAGCAACGACCACAACATCTACCACGACGACAGTTAAACCGACAACATCGAAGACAACAAAGCAGCAAAAGACGTCGACAACGGAGGGTACTGTTGCCAAAACAACGACCGATTTCCCCGCCGAACTACGACAGTAAGGCCCGCTTCTTCACATCAGCATATCACACGTGAAGATCCGGGTTAGAACTGATCTTCAGCAAACCATGCTTGTCATAAGAGGCGACTAACGGGATCGGGTGGTTATGTTCGCTGACTTTGTTGACACATGTCATCCTATCTCAATTGCGTAGATCAAAGCTCATGCTGTTGATCACTGGATTGTCTCCAGAATCGATTATTTACAGACCGCTACCATGGATGGAATATTGCTGAGTGCGGCATATCTTTTGCTCACAAACAAATTTAAGCCAAAATCTATGCTTGTGTTCCGCCTCGGTCTCTTAGAACCCTCTCACCCTGAAAGCTAGACTAAACATGTTCCCTAGGGTGGGGCAGTGGGGTAGCCTAGTGGTTAAAGTGTTGGCTCGTCACGCCGAAGACCCTGGTTCGATGGGTACATTGTGTGAAGCCCATTTCTGGTGTCCCCCGCCGTGATGTTGCTGGAATATTGCTAAAAGCGGCGTAAAACTAAACTCAGTCAGTCAGTGTTCCCAAGGGTATAATAAATCATACAGAGTTTGATCTAAGTTTGAGCTAAGTTGTCATACCAATTGCAACCTCTTATATTTGAATATCGGACCCTGCTTAGTGGGTGTTCTGTTGTCATACAGTAGGATATACTGTAATAATTTAATATACAGCTTGAGGGGGTTTGTGTTTCATTATTAAAAATAGATTACTGAAAACAAACCCTCTGCGAACCTCAGACTACCACTGCATATGTACAGAGCATAGCTTATTATTATTATTATCTGTTTCACCAGACGCGGCTGTGGTTCAACAAATGTCTGCCATCACCATCCTGACGTCCCTGGTCCTTGCGATGATGTCATAAGCTGATGTAGAGGCAATCTGACGTCACTGACGTCCCATGTGACGTGACACCATTGTATTCTCCGATGACTGTTTGACGTCTTGTATTTTTGAGAGAGAAACATGTTATGATTACGTTTTGAACATTTGTACTTTATAACTGTGATATTTGTCATATATGTTATCTACTGACACAATAGTTTATCATGTTCAAGTTCGACTACGACGTCTCTCGAACAAATGTTATAGCGTTATAACCGTTATCAATAACATTGCATTTCCCAAAGTCATTACGATCTGCCTGTGTAGATTTGTTCGTAGTAAAATTCCTCATCATAAAAGTGGGATCTATTGAATATTATCATATCTTCGTTTGAATTCTGACAGTTTTCAGTTTTCTTATAATCGCCATACACAATACATCCCATCGAAACAAAGTTACTTGAAACTATAGTAACTGCACTCATTTTGGGTCGAGGCTTTGTTTTAATCAATGATTTGTTTAAAGGAACAACAGATAACACATTTAAATAAATATTTTAACTTAATGAATAAACAAAGTCACAAATTATATGTACGAATGATGATGGTATTAACAATTACGTATGCGTATTGTTGTAATAATATATATCATGCTGAAAATTCGCCTTAGGTATTCATGTTTATATCGACAGAGATATGATATAAGTAGGTTGAATACATGTTAGAAATGTTTAGTCAGTCCGTAACTGTGTCGATTCTTTTTACAAATAGATGAATTATATATATGAGGTAACTTAAATTTGACCTATTTGTATATCATACTATGTGTGTAACATAATTTTTATTTGAAATTACACAGCGCACGAGGAGTCAATATTGTTTTACGCCGTTTTGGCAGTATATCAACAATAATCGCCACAAATTATACCCTTGATGGGAATCGATCCCGAACCTTCGGCGCGATGAGCAAACGGTTTAACCACAGCCCCAAGCGGAACATAGAATACAGCACAGGTACAACAGGTACCAGTCCCAAGTGATAAGCCCTGGGCCCGGTTGTTCAAAGCACCGTTATTTTAACATACCGTTAAACACTAAAGACCCTTTAAATAGCTAACGAAAACTTAGTTAACAGTACGTTAAAATTTGGTTGCTGGAAGGGGTTTATAACAGGCCGTTAGCTAATGGTATGATTAGAGGTTAACAGCCTGTTAAGGACCTAACCATTACCCACAATTCCTTGCACACTGTCCCATGATTCCCTGTCAAAATGGGATCGCAAATGATCACCTCAGTAAAATCTGACTGTAAGAAAAGTAAAAGAAGAAAATATTTCAGCACCGATGAAGAAAATGTAATTCAGTCAATGTATCAAGAAAATGCTGAAATTTTAAGTCTGAATTCCTTAAGTTTTCTTTGTGGTCTAATGTTCATGAATGCTGCATTACGCTGAACAATAAACGCCATGTTGTCACCATGCAGCTAGGTCTAGAACTAATGCTAATGGTAACGTTAGTGAGCTAATGTACCCCCTCCCCTTACGTTAAGGTAACGTGGTCTTAACGGGCCGTTAAACGTTAACGGAGCTTTGAGCAACAGGCTTTCGCTCTCTAAACTTAACGGTCCGTTAAAGACTAGATAACGGGCCGTTAAAAGTTAACGGAGCTTTGAGCAACAGGCTTTCGCTCTCTAAACTTTAACGGTCCGTTAAAGACTAGCTAACGGTCCGTTAAATTTTAACAGGCTTTTGAACAACTGGGCCCTGGTCATCATCGTGTGAAGGATGGGTAGAGCTGGGGTTAGTCTAGTGGTTAAAGCGTTCGCTTAATACGCGGAAGGACGGGGGTCGATTCCCGTCATGAATACGATATGGGGCGACCTCGGGTTCGATTCCCCACATGGGCCCATTTCTGGTATGCCCCGCCTTGATATTGCTGTTATGTTGCTAAAAGCGACGTAAAACTAAATTCACTCACTCACTATTCCTAGAACATCGCTGAATCGGCGTTAAACAACAATCACTTATCCTACTTTAACCTAGCTTTAAATCGGCGGTGTTCTCTCACTGCACAATGGTAAGTCCAGGCGAGTATGGATATATAATACAATAATTGTAACGAACGAAATTCAAATTCCCGGGATTAGCTTAAGGTCACTATTATGGTGAATATCGAATATCGCATGTCTCGAACTGATCTGACAGGAGTTTGTAATATCCAGAGTGGTCTGTACTTGTTCAATTTGTGTCTCGAACAGTGGACAGGGCAATGACAAGTTCTACTGTACTCGAGTTTGCTGTCCGCTGGTCGATGACATACCAGAACAGAGCACTAAATATATTTCAATATTGCGCTAAATCTTCAATATTCGGCTCTGGCTTAAATTAAATAGTTTCCATGGTTATCA